TTTAAGTATCCTCAGTAAGGAATTTAGTGTTTGTCAGTCTGTTTCTTTGTCTGGAATTAATAATGTAATAACATAGGTTCTTCAAACAAGGCATGTAATTAGAATTCATTGAAATCCTATGTCTAGGCTAAATTTGAAGAAAATAGGTTGTAATTAAAGTAAGTTATTACCAATTTCCATATCTAATTATTGTGACTATGTGGTTCTCCTCTGGGTTAGGTGAGAAATCATTATCCCAAACTCAAACCAATTGAGGATTTAAAATTAGCACTAATTCAAAGAGGGGTATGCACAGTTAAAACACCCCAAGTAATACCAAGTTTTTTTGGTTATTGTGATTCCCACCAGCAACATTATGACTAAGATGTAATACTGCTGTAGACTCCAGCTGAGATGGAACTGAGGTTTAAAGATACCATGTACTTTCCCTCTTATTCTGAACCCTTGGCATAATGAGCAGAAGAAAAATGAATGGTCCCTTACCCTGCTATATATGGGGTTTTTTTATATATGGGGTTTTTTTTTTTCCCAGTGCAATATTCAATTAATTTTCTGAACCAGCTATTATTGCCTCAGGGAATAATTGCAAGATTTCTGTGGTGTTTGTCGCTCTTCAAATAGCTTTTGTGCACTGCTACCTTTTAGCTGTTTTCACCTGGATGCAGGTCTTGCAATGACGTATCAGAATGCTTCTGCATCCACATCTGCAACATGGGTTCTGACACTTCTTATGGGGAAGGTTTTTTTTTCTACCCTCTTCCACTCCTTCTACTCCTCTGTCTTTATTAGGAGGAGAAGGCAGAGGAAACAAAGAGTTGACAGAGATGAATATGCTCTATGAATCAAAGCTTCTGGAAATGGTTCTATGGGTTAGTTACCTTCCTGGTGAGAGTAGGAGACTTGTACAAAATTTCCACTGAACTACTCTTTTCCATCCATAGAAAAATGCCAAGGAACTTGGACAAGAGTATTGTAAATGGCATCTATCTAGCACTCCTTTGTTGCCTATTTTGTTACTGCTAATTAAAATATAAAAGCCTTCTAATATTTAAGCACCATTAACTTGGCTGAATTACTAAATGTCAATTTGCATTATGTGCATAAAAGGATCAATAAACAAAGAGAATAAAGCAATGGAGGTGGCTGGGGCTAGAGAGATGTCAGCTCCTCTTATTGAAACCAGAGGGAATTGCTCACTTGTCTGCCGGTTTGTGGTTGTTAATTATCAGTACTCAAGAGATGAAGTACCAGAGACTTTCTGTAGGACTCTGCTCACCAAAGGCACTGCAGGGATGTCAAAGATGCTGTCAAGATAAAACATTACTTGGCTTGATTTCCAGGGGTGCCACTCAGGCTCTGTTGCCTCAGTTCTGTTGACAATTTTCTGGCATTTGCTTTTGATTCTCTCTCCTTTCTTTTCAAGTAGAGCTTGGCCTTTGCACAGTAGACTGGAATTAGGTATGGATTGATCCCTGTCTGTGCTTTAGGCTTCTGCCCAACCCAACGATGGCAGAGGGCAATAGCAGCCCTTCCCCACTTAACAGCACTGGGGGATAAAAGCTTCAGTGTTTTGTGAGGGCCTGCGGTGGAACTTATTCAAACACAAAGGCTTCTTTCCACTGAGGGGATGTGTCACAAGCAGCCTCCATGTATCATCAGTGTCACCCATCTCCAATCCTTGATCTTGCTGGGAGCAGATGGGTACCCAGCAGAGGAGTGCCAAGTCTCTGTGGCCCCCATGGTCCTTGGCATCTCTGCCAGGTTTGCCAGTGAGTGGTTGTGCTGGGGTTGGTGCCTTGGTTGCCTGTCCTTTCCCAGCAAGTGGCTTGGAGCTGAGAGCAGATCTTGTATTTTGATCCCCTGGGAGGTGACTGCTGCAGGGGACTTGGGGTCGCTGTTGCAAGAGCTTTGGACAGAGACAAGTTCCTGCTGCTCACCATTTTTCAGTAGTAAAACTGGGGTTTAGATAGTTGAATTAAGGGTAGAGCTTGTACTTCCATCTCTTTCTATGCTTTGTTCTAAACAAGCTTTCAGTGAAATTTTATTTCAGTGGCTTTTTCTTGTGGCTCTTACCACTCTCTCCTGCTCTCATTCCCCTGTCCCCCCCTCCTGCCCTCTGTTTCACAGCTGAAATAACCTTTTGCTTTTTGTGGTAGATGGGGATAGCAGTAGGTAAACATGGCCATTTGCTGAATCTTTCCTCTCCTGTGTGAGGAGAATGCATTGCCATCATGGCATGATTGCCCTCACATCCCCAGATCGCTCTGAGCTATCTGGATGGGACCCTGGAAGCAGTGGAGCTGTGATGGGTGAGGATTTAGTATTGATTCGGTGCCTAAGTATTTACCCAGCTTCTCAGATGGGCTTTGTGGTCTGCACAGAACTCTCTATCTCTGCAGATACTCTCCTGGCAGTGGTGGAGCTGCTTTGGTCATGTTCATAGGGAGGCCTTTGGGAGAGCTGAGGCACCAGGTAGTCTGTGCATTGCTTTGCTGCCCCATGTCTGCACACCCACTCTCTGGGGCTAGCAGCTCTGAGAATACATCATCCTCTTTGGCTCTCCTTTGACAGCTCTTCTCTGCCAGTCCTTCTGCCCACCAGCCTCCAGTTTCCATCTCAGTGTTGAAGAATTTGTGCCTCAGTGTTTAGCATTTTGAACAACATCAGCAGGTGTTTCATGGAAATACTCCTATCCGTACACAATTTCCGATAGTACTTTGGTTGCATAAGAGTTCAGTTTTTCTATTTCTTCTCCAATTGTTTTTAATATACCTGGAGCTTGAATTAGTTTCTCTTCCTTTGTTTCCAGAGTGGATTTTAGTGTGACTCTGGTGGAGTCTTCACCAGTAAAGTCTGAAGCATTTCACCTGTGTCCCACTAGCTAGGGAATCCAGTTTGAAACCACCACCTCTGATTTGCCTTATTTTTCATGACTGAAGAACAACAGCTGTCATCTGATACTTTTTTTCTGGTTTTGATATAAAAAGGAGCCTGTAGTTATTCATTGATTGAAGTTCATGCACCTTTACTGCTTATCTAGTTGACAGATGATTAACAAATTGACTTTTTTCCTCCCGTTTTGAAGGACTGAAGTGTCTGTGTTGTGCTTTCCTTTCATCCTATGTCAAATGATCCAGCCATGAAATAACAGATAAGTTTCAAAGTACTCTGGTTTGAAGATGGACCTCTTTGTTGAAGAGTCACTGTTGTACCAAAGGGGTTCAAAGTATAAAGAGGGAGAAAGAGCAGAAGAAAGTGCATCAGTGGTGCTTCGGAAATGAGCTGATCTTGAATTCAGGGGACAGAGGTAAAGCCCTTGGGACCATTTAAACAAAGCCCATTTGTCTGCATAAGTTATTATTAGCAGCAGATGGTGGGGACATCATCTGTTGGACTTCTGTCAGGAAAATTAATCCACAAACACCAGAGGTTTATGTCCAGAAACAAGACAGACATCCTTTTACTTTATTCTAATGAAAGGAGATGCCATGGGGCATTCTCATGGGGTCTTTCAAATTTTTGGAGGACACAGCCTCCTTTTTATCCTAATTTCCCAGCTGTATGTCCCTCTCTCTTTCCCCATTGGCTGAGGTACTTGAGATGTAAAGACTTCCCAGAACGCCTGATTCCTAAGATTCCCCCCTAATGTATAACCCTCCCTCTTAATTTTTAATTCTTACTGAATTTATGGTGTTTCCCCATTGTTTCTTTCATTTTTCAATATCCAATTTAATTTATCACCAAATCTACAGTTTATTTGTAAAGGCAACTATCTTTTTTTTTATTCAACAATCAGTGGAATCCTTCCCATTGTTTCTTTTATCACTCAGTGCTGGTTTTATCTACCAGTGGTCTCACAGCTTGTTTGTAAAGACAAATCCGCCATTCCTCTCACTACCAATGCTAGCAAGCTGCAGCATGGCTGTGAAAGATGTTTTTCCTGTCTGGATGGGGATATACAGCTTCAGTGGTTCCTGCGTGCTGTGACAGAGGCAAAAAAGGGGAAGCAGAAGTGTGAGTTGCATTTCCATCTGAGGTAGCCTTGGCTCCTGGGTGGGCTGGCTACTTGGAGGCCTGGGGATGGACACAATGAAAGTTGAAACCAAAAGCCAGAGGGTCTGCAGTCTTTCTGGATGCTTGTAGCTGTTTATTGCCTTTCAGAGAGTGGTGGGTGCATGGAGCAGCTGGAGATTGGCTCAGGGGACTGGAGACCTGGTGGGAGTTTGCATAAAGGAGACAAATGATCAAACCTGCCAAGGAACCTGGTGCTTGCCTGTCCTGCAGTAGTCACCTGTTGCTGCAGCACAGGGGTCAGATAAGTAAGTGTGCTGCCCATGTCCAGTTGAGTTCCTCTCTTTTTAGCCTTTTTTTCTCTGACTGGACTGTTTAATTTTTGAGTATTTTACCAGCTGACAAACAAGTCATTCTGTTGGTGGTCTATATCTTCTAGATTAGAGGATTTCTCCCCCAAGCTGCTTGCCTGATTTGTGGTTTTCCCTAATATGCTCAGGAATTTAAGTGGTAACCAGAGAAGAAACGTGCAATATTTTGAGCAATCAACTTGGTAACATGACCTCAGCCAAGTGTGGCTCTGTGGCCCATTGGGTTTTGCACCAAGATTTAGAGATACAGGTCAGGCTCCAGCGGGCACAGCAGGAAGTGGGTTGGGAGACATGGTAAAGTCTCTTTTGGGGCCATTATGAGACAAGCATGCTTTTTTCATTTCCCAACCAAAGCCGGAAACTTCCAGGACAGTTGCTGAAGTGCAGGCTCTACTTGCCGCTGTATCTGGAGCCCCTAAATATTTGAAGACAAGCTACTTCATATTGCTGGCACTGAGTTTTCTGTAGAAATTCCACTCAGGCGTAAGAGTTAGGCAGTAATGTCGAGTTTATTCCACCATAATGCTCTGAGTACATGTAACATCTGTCACTTGATTCTTACCAAACAAAGTTGCTTGAAGTATGCCCCCTTTTGTCCCCCCCGAAGTAATCCTGGCTAGCTCTGTTGAGTGGAGGGATGGGGGGTCCTTCACGACCAAGATAAAAGACCAAAGGGCTGCTTTTCCCTCCGGGATAACATCAGGTGTTTATTCAGGCTGGGATCCGGGAGGAAAAAAAGAGAAAGAGGAACATCTTCCGGGCATTTTCAAACCTCGGGAGAGGGGAGAGGAGACATATAACACCAACCAATGGGATAACATTTTAGGGACAGGGAGGGGAGGGGGAAAAACACATCACAGCTGCGGGGAGGGCTTACACAGAAACTAAGGAACACCCAGAAATGTGCGCTACCACAGTTGCTTATCAATTTTGCTCTTCTACTTAGCGCTCTGCAGCTATGTAAGAATATTTTGGAAACATCTAGGAAAGTCAGTGAGCTGCTGCAGGCAGTGAAGTTGGAGGTTGAGGTGATAAGTGATCATTTGGTAACTGATACTTAAGTAAAGCACGTAATCCTGCTTTGGTTTAAAGTTGAACAGTGGTCTCAGGAGCAGGTGTTGGAGTTGCTGGGGGAGCGTACCTGCTATTCATGACATCTCACATGATTTTGTTGCTAGCATTTTTCTAAAATAAACAAAATTATAGACATGCTTTAAGGAAGTGGCATTGATTAAGCAACAAGTTATTTTAAGACTGTGGAAATCATCTGGCTGAGCTTTACAAAAAGGAACTTGGTTTCTGGAGATGCAATCAGACAGAGATATACAGTCATAGTCTTGGTCTCTTCCAAGTGAAAAAAAACCCCATACTATTTCATGCTATTTCAAGCAGCTAAGTTTTGTGCTCTGTGGTTACTTTCCACACCTCTGTCATTTCTCTATGCACTTCTCTTTGAAAATTTTATTTTTTCTTCTTGCTCAAGAGTAGCTTTGAAGTGTTGTGTGGGGTTAGACATTGTTCTTTGCATATATTCTGAGTGGGTGTGTTTTTTTGGTGGGTGAATTGATGTTTGTGTTTTAATCACGATCAGTTTACAAACAGCAAAGGAGTCAGAGATATACTGAAAGACGATGTGTTTCCTGTGGCAAATTTAGGCCAGGTGTACAGAAATCAGAAATTTTTTATTTTTTTTTGTTTTTTCATCATGTGTGTTTTTGGCTGCAGTGAAAACATCAGGACACGAAACCAAAAGAGCCTCAGTGGAGATCTGCCTTGTTTGGGGCTGTAACCCTTAGTGTCAGCAGGCAGGGAGAGCTTCCTGATGTCTTTTGGTTTAGGACAGTAGTGTGATAGCACAGAGCTTTCAAGGCAGCACATGACGTTGGAAGACTCAATGGGAGGACCTTGGATGAGACGGAAGTCGTAGGAGTGGGAGGCGACCCAGGACTATGGATATGCTTTGATTCTTAGCAGAGGCCTTCTGCATTGCCTCTTTCTGTGCTGGGGGACCAGCCTGGCCTTGTGTTAAAAGTTGGAGTTTAATCAGACCAAATTGTACACAGCACCTCCCATGGGGAAAGTTCCCTGCAGGGACTGGGCTCCCTTTGCTATTTCAGTGGGCAAAGAGGATGTGAGGGACTCAGATGAGGAGAAGGTTGCCCCTGAGCAAGCAGCTAGAGAATGTGTTTGGAAAATGGTGGTGGCACTTGGTTTGGTAAATGGGCTCCCTGGGCAGGCTGCACAAAGACATCTAATGTCTGAGCTCAATTACACCCACCCACTGCCACCTCCTCTCCCTCTGCTCTTGTGTTGGTCTTAACTGCTGACTGATGGATATGGCTGGTTTTTCTTCAGCCATTAATACAGTATTGATTCACAGTCCTGCTGACAGTGTTAATGGACACTGATCGTGTATTATTATTTCCATAATTGTCCTCAAGCTGGAGTGCATTCTCCTTTTCAAATGGCCCATCGATATAGTGCCCTGCATTGTGAACTGGATCTGTCCTGGTTAATTTGTTTTGTCTAAAGTTTCAGCAAAACCTGTGGTCTTCATCCCTAGTGGAGCAATCAGTGAGACCAGCTGAGCAGTGCTGGAGCACACATCAAGGCAGTTTCCATGCTCTACCAGAGCATGGTGTTTTGTTTAGCCATCAGGATGCTGCCCCTGGAGACCCTTCAGAGACCCTTCCCTTTGTACTAGACCTTCCTTGCTGCTGCCGAGTGTTGCTAGCTTGTCTCTTCCCCTTATACATGTGCTGGCTTTCCTTTGTGCTCTTTTAGGGGAACATGACCCCTTCCTCATAGGTCTCCATGTTTGTGTGCCCCTGCTGTCCACATAGATCTGTGCATTGCATGGATAGGATTAAACGCTACCTCCAGCAGTGACTTTGAGGCATGAGCTGTCCCTTGGGTGTTCTGCCATGTGTGGTCTGTAACTAAGTGCTGCAGGGCAGTTCCTGGAGAGGAACTTCAAGACACTCAAGAAATTCCACATGTGGATTTCCATAGTGAAATGCTTATTCAACCCCACCATGCTTTATAAATACCATGTGTTTTCCCATTTCTGGGAACTCCCCTTCAAGATGCATCTGTTACATGTCACTTGCTCAGGATGGGAAAGGTGAGGAAAGGAGACAGACAAGTTCTTAAGAGGTTTAAACGACAGATTAGCAGGTGATGCCCTCCTCATTTGACTGTAACTAAGCAGTGTGAGTCCAGGGAGCCTGTGAACAGGAATGGGAAGGACCTTGGCTTCTTTTTGCCTAGAGTAGGTGCAGAAGAGGCTGAATTATATCTGTACCAGATGCATGGAAGATCATTGCTTGCCTTGCAAAGCAGGGTGGTAGATTCAGTCTGAGGAAGAGGAAAGCTCTAGGTGCAGCTTCCCTCTCTCTCCACCCTGGAGGAGGATGAAAGCAGAGGTGGGTAGATTCAGTGCCCTTGTGCATTCAGCAGCTTTGGAGATAAATGTTCTTCATCCTTGAGGAAGTCAGCAAGACATGCAGATAGCAGGGGTAGTGGTGGGACTCTCTAGAGGTAGTGTTTGACTCTCTAGAGTCAAACAGTGATGGCTGCTATTAGAGTGCTGGGAAGGCAGCAGAGAAGTGCGGTAGGTTCTGCACTGCAGAACAGAGGAGCAGCCTCTGTGCTGACAGTGACTGAGGGAGTGTCAGTGCAGTGTCTGTCACTCACCACCCTCTCTGTAAAAGAGCTCTCATCGTTGTAATTTTCCTGATGAGATCTGAGGTTCAAGATGAATGGCTAGACCTGTGAAGCAAATATGGATGACTCAGTCCTCTCCAAAAGACAATTTCTCTTTCCTTTTCTACATTTTCATGGTATTAATAACCTATAAGCACCAAGAGTCTCATAAACTTTCCAGGATATGGTAATAATAACACTGTACAGTACACTGCACTGCACTGGGAATAAAGTTATTTTATCCACTTCATTTTCCATTTGTTTTAATGTGTAAATATATCAAGTGAAAGCATAGTAGGAAATCTTGATGCTGCGGCCAAATGCATTACAGGCCAGCCATTTTCTGAGCAAGGACCTAAAGCTTGCTGCATGTTCATAGTCTGACTTTTTTTTCCCTTCTAAAGTATGTGATGCTCAATATGTGGCTGGCCTAGTTTTTCTGGAGGACTTTGTATTGAGAACCTTCCCATAGTTGGTCTCTTACTTGAAAGTGGAATAAGAGTGATGATACCTCTGTCACTCAAAATTTCTAGGAACGATCTATTTCTTCTTCCTCCATAGAGGCCATCAGAGGTCTTCCTTGGACTTCTGCTTTGGGGTTGGCTGGCCTGAGGTGAGGGATTCTGCCCCAGAAGAACTCAACAGGGGAAGTTGTCTCTGTTCAAGAGTTTTTCTGTGTGGAGCACCGCTGACAATAGCTGTGGTTACTCCATCTCCAGCCTTTGCCTTCATAAGGGCCTTCTGTGACACTGTTACTCTGACAGGCATGCTCCTGCTGTCCTGTTGTGCTGGCAGTGTGCAAGCTGTCTGCATGCTGAAATCCTCCAGGAGACATGGGATGATGTCAAACAATAATGTATTCTTTCTGTTCAAGCACATTAAAAGCGCAATTAATCCTTGCAGTCTCTCTGCCTATCTGTAATACAGCATGAGGTGACTCTCCTAGCTTTTGTGTGCTATAGCAGGCTGAGCTTGAAACAAAGACCTACCCAAGGCTCATCTTGTGACTTAACACAGTCCCCAAGCTGTGTTTGTTCATTGCTCAGTCTCCACCTACTAATGTCAAGTTATAACCAAACCAGAGGCAGTATCTCAGGCTCCTTTGCCATCTACCTGAGTGCTTTTCTTTCCAAGACAACCCCAAGTTTTCTGAGCTCCCTTTTGAGAGATCTGGGTTCACATGGATTTAAGACATCAAAAAATGGTGACTGTTCTGCTGAGGTCCTGGTGCTGTTACTGCCAGAGAAATGTTACAGCTTAAGCAGTGGAGGTTCCCTTAAAGTGATGTCCCTTTCAAATGATTTAGCTGAAAGATGTTAATGATGGTGGCACAAGGAAGTTCAGCCATCTGTGAACAAAGGCTGATGTTTGATGAATGATACCCTTGCTTGTAAGCTTTCATTACAGCTCAGTGTATCCATGGAGAATTTGGGAGAAGAGGACAAAATTATGACCCAGGGCTTACCCCAGGGCTGTCATTTTGTTGTAGTCCAGTGCCTTATAAGGATTAGTTTAAATAATGTTTCTCTCAAACTCAGGGATATGCCAAATTACAAAGGTATTACACCAAGGTATTTTGACACCAGAATCGCACAAAGCCTTCTAACCCTATGCCACTCTACCTAATGATTTTCTTGTGGAAGTTCCCCATGTGGAAGTGCCTCTGGACAACTGGTAGAAAAGTGTTACACAACACAGGTGAAATAATGGAAGTGGAATAGACAAAGGGAGGAGTGAAAGTTGCAATGCTTTCTTTGTATACCATATGAGGTACTGCAGAGCAACTTAAGAGCAACATTTAACTGGGAGCTAGAGCTGCAGATAAATATTCTGATTCTCCATGGGGTGTCTGAAAATTAGTTTTGACAGGAAGGTCATAGTTTGGAAAGGGAGAATAGAGCCATCAGCTGGCAAAGCCCAGAGACTATTAAGAGAAGTTACCAGAGCTTTGCTGCTTCAGGGTGCCAGGACCCTGCTGAAATGCAGGCAGCGCAGTTTGGGGATTGGGGGAATGTGGCATAGGATGGGAAGGGACTGAGTCTCTCTTTTAATCTTCAGAGATCAGCATCATGGCCTGTGTCTCAGCCCTGTAAGAAGTGCTCTGCAGTACAGTGGAGCTAAAGGTGTTATGGCAGATCTGCAGAAAACTGATCTGAGGGCTAAAACAGCACAAGAGGCTGTCATTTGGATTAAGGTGTATTAGCAAAGGTTATGTAAGCTTCTGAATTCCTCCCCTGCAACTGTTGGCTTGACAAGCATTCATGATGTGTTTTCCTGATAAATCACTATTTTAATTAATGTATTTACACATCTGCATGTCCATACATGTATGTGTGTACAAACACAGATGTGTGTAAGCACATACACAGGTTTGTGCTTTCTTCTGGGTTCAGCAAGACTCTCTGCCATCCAGGCAGAGGAAGGTTACTCATCTGCTCAGTTGTATCAGTGAAGTCTTAACAGTCAGTTTTGGCATTCCAGGATGTCTAAGTGATGGCAGGCATCTTGGGAGGCCTGCAGAAGGGGAAGACAGTAGAGGCTGAGTGATTTGTCCAAGTTTGTGCCATTATCTTATTCAAATAGACATGTTGCTTCTGTTTGTCAACAGTTTGGAGAGTAATAATAATTTTAACAAAGTGACACCATGCTGGAAAGATGGAAGAGACGGAAAATGAGAGATTATCTTTCTCTATGTGCAGTGCTGCTATGTAGATGTTGGGTGGCCGTGGCAGGCTGTAAAGGCCCAGCAGCAAGGGCAGTTTCCCACTAGCCCTGTGTCCACTCTTGTGTCCCTGCTGTCAGTGCATTGTGGTGACACCAGTTTATAAAGGCTGATCTCAAAGGCAGATCTTCTCCACTGCCCAAGCCCAGTCTGTCCTGCTGTTTGTACTGCTGGTGGATTAAGCCAGCAAAAACCTGAGCACTTCTCTCACCCAGGTGATTTGGTCTAGAGCATTTTGGTCATGCCAAGGGAATGCAAATAATTTTTTAAAAGCCAGTCTTCGAAGCTCAACTAACCTTCAGGAAAAAGTGTGTGCTTGGTTCAGCTTTAACAGGTTGTGGAAAGTTTATTCTTGCTTAGGAAGGTTCTCTAGGGCTCATTGCTTTAAATCCTTTGCTAATCTCCTCTGTGGTTTGTTCATTTTTGTTATATTCCACTAATGGGAGCTAGAGCTGTAACTCCAGAGTCACCTGAAAGTGTTCTAGCATGCTCAGTAAGTATCCCAGGGGACTGTCAGTGAGACACCAACTCTTTGACATGTGTGGGTTTCTCTGCATTTTGAAGAACAACTGGAGTTTCCCTGTCAAACACACGCGGGTATGCATCTGGGCTGCACAGTCACCTTCAATGCATCTCAGATCACACAAATGCTTTGGAGTAGGGAGCCAAAGGCTGTTTGCACAGAATTTCAGAGCTGAGGCATTTTTCTTTATAAAATCCTATCTACTAGAGCTGGTCTCTTCCTGCTGCTCGTAGGTCTGTTGTGGGATATAGGTGCTGTTTGAGTTTGTGGCATTTTATAACTTTGTTTTGGGAACTTTCTGTCTATGTACTTTTCCACTGCACTGGTCTTTACCCATTTTCCTGGCTGGACTGGCAGTAATTGGTCTCCATTAGCAGCCATAGGTGGAGAGATCCCTACAGACTACTGGGTCCTCTGGTCCTGCAGAGGCTGTTTCCTTTGTCTGTAGCTGAGACAGGCTGCTATTTAATATGGGAAAGACTTGTTTTTCCTGCAGTGTGTGCAATTCATGTTCTAGGGATATGTGCTAATAGCCATACAGAGCTTCAGGGCCCTTCCTGACTCAGATCAGTAGTTATCCCAGCCCCCTGCAAGGTAAATCATAGTAATTTGGCTTATTTTAGACAGACATAGAGCAGTTGTGATGTGACCAGGTCCCTGCTATAGCTTGCTTGCACATTCTCCTTTCTGGGAGAGATGACAGCAGGAATTTTTTAGTCCTCAACTCATGCAGGAGGGTCCACCCCAAAAAAGCACCATATTCTGCTTTTCAGTGTCTAGAGCTGTTCATCCCAACAGAACCAAAGGTTTTTAAATAGTAATTGATAGCAGTTGCTGAGGAAATGGGGAAAATTGCTTAATAATATATCTCCTAAGACCTCCATGACTCATTCCCAGAACTGCCTGTCTCTGCCCCTCTTGTGGCTTAAGAGGTGGGAGAAGCTACCCTGGGCAGAGGGCATAAAGAGATGGGGGTACTGCTCATTTCCATCTTTACCTCTTCTTTCCTTTCTACAGCTCCTGCTCAGGCCCAGATCATCCATGCTGGGCAAGCATGCGTGGTGAAGGAAGACAACATCAGTGAACGTGTTTACACAATTCGGGAGGGGGACACTCTGGTCCTGCAGTGTCTGGTCACAGGACACCCCCGGCCACAGGTAAGCCTTTAGTCTTGCCCATTACTCGTGCTCCCCCATGGCACTTATTTGTAGTCTCCACACAGAGGAGAACTGTGGGCAGTGGGATGTCCAGCTTTCTCCTACATACTGGACTCATGGAGGGATGCCACATTTTGCAAGCACTTAGCTTGTTGAACTATGAAACATTTAGGCTCACTTTCATGGAAAACAGTCCGCAAAGCTTTTCAGAAGCTTACAAAGACCTTCTACTTATCTTCAGTATGTGAAGCCTCTCCAAAAACTGAAAGCTCAAACTGAAATCTCAAATCTTTAACCCTCTTACTACAGGGTAGGAGCATCCTAGAAGAAGCTTCCCATATGTGTTTGCCTTAGGAGTTGGTCCTTTGTGGTTCATCCATTTCTCTTGGTTGTACAGTCAAGGAGATGCTGCTTGGGGGAGTTTGTGAAGTTGTTGGTAGTGCCCTTCATTGAGCCCCATGCAGAGCCTGCTGTTCATTGCTTTCTGGACACCAAGCAAAGGCAGAGTCAGACTTGCAGCAGTGGACACATCCATTCTGTGGTCAGAGACACTGTCCAGTGGCAAGGTACAAAGCTGAGCCTGGCTAATGGTTGCAGTCCTTACTTGAGATGCCCAAAGGTTTGCACAGCCTCAGGCCTGTGCAGCCACCTCAGCACCCTTCAGATACTCAAGCTGGGCAGTTCAGTGTTAGTGTGGATGTGTCTTCAGAGGTACTGGCCTAGAGCATGGGTCTGCCAGCTCCGGGACAGTGTGTGGTAGGAGTGGCAGCTGGTGCACAATGCAAGGCTGGATGTGCCAGAATACACTCAGGGGAGCCACATGTGATATGTGCCTTGGCCTTGTTCCTCAGTTCTGCCAAAGATATTTGTGGCAAGAAGGCATGCATCTTCTTAGGCCAGTCAATGCCTCTGTGGACTTGCTTGTGAGGAGCTACTTGGCTATGAGGTGATGACAAAGGTGAGGATTTGAAATGTTTTTTCCATCAAAAGAATATCCTGAAAGCAATAAAAATAAAATTACCTGAGCCAAGTCAGCAAAAATGACCAGCCTAGGCTTATGACAGTGGTGGGTAAATGATACCTGTGTGCATCAGAAATGGGGAATTTGGTAGCAGTGGCTCAGCCTAAGGTTGTTGAATGCACAGAAGGGTCCTGGCAGGTTGGAGGGATTTGAGCCTGAGTAGCTAGAGAGATTTCTGGAGCAGAGCCTGTTGCAGACAGCATGCTAGTGGGCAGCACTCTGGCTTGTCATTGCCCAGACCTGCACAGGGGACACCAAAGCCTAGAACCAGGCATGACCAGGGAGACTGGAACCTGCACGTATAAAATTGGCATGCATCCTATTTCTGCCCTCCGTCCTAATGGATTGATTTCTTCCCCAGCTAAACTCTTATCCTAACCTTTGTTTAATCTTCTCTTTCCCTTTCTATCAGCCAGTCATTAAAGCATGAAAATGTGGCCAAAATACTAAAATAAGATTGTGACTGAAAAAGTTATAGAGGTGGCTGAAGTGTCCTTCAAAACAGGAGACTCCAGGAGTCTTGGGGCCTTTAGACAATTTCATAAGCCTACAAACGCTGAATAAATCTATGGTCAATAGCTGTAAAAATCTACTCAGCCTGGTGCTCAGGGTTGGGATGTAGACACCCCTGCTCCTTCTAGGGCATCAACACCAATTGTGTAATGGCAGTGAGCTTTGGGCAAAGTCTGGCAGAGTTGCTAAGGTATTTGGTCCAATGCTAATGAAAGTCCTTCTTCTTTCTGCTGGCTGATCTTGCTGGATCTCAGTTCCAGAGTCTAAATTGTCCCAGAGTAGGAGGCCAGTGGTCAGCAGCCTTTAGAAGGGAGGTTGCAGATATAGAAAACCAATGGACTGAGAAAAGTTCTCTCTCTCTTTCATTGTGTGGAGTGCACAAAACAAGGGGGAAGCTTGTATTGCCACTGCAAGGGCTGTACCTCATTCCAGACAAAAGAGAAACCCTTCAGTCTTTGGGATTGCTGTCTTCTTGCCGCCATTCACTATGAAATACCATGCAGCTCTGTTGCCCCTGCAGCATCCTGTTGCCCAGGATCTTAAGACATGTGACATAAGGACAAAGAAATGAAAAGGTGGATTGAAATCCGAAGGGATTTTTTTTATTTTTTTTTTTATCCCCCCTATATCTTTAAAAACAGAGGAAAAGCATGTGTACTGCAAAAGGATGACTTACAAAAATAAAATACACAGGAGTTCCCAGTGGGAAAGGGACAAGAGTCAGATAGCAACTGCATTTTCTCAGTCATGGAAAAGCAAAAAGCAGAAATAGCCTTGCTGTCCAGAAAAAGATGAGTGTGGACTGCAGTAAAAACTCTGTAGCTGTGAACTGATGTCTGCTGTAGTGTCCTACATGTCCATGTGGCCTACCAGCCACATGTGGTCTCAAGGCTGAATGCTGAAAGTCCTGTGCTGTGCAGATAGTGGCATAAAACTGGGCAAGCTGCTGTGTTTGCAGGATCAGAGCAGGAGTGGCAAACATACAGCGTGTGTCTGGATGAATTGAGGGGTTATCCTGGACTCTTGAACATGGGGATTGGCAATGGACCAGAATGGCTGGGCTACTGAGACATACTGAGATCAGTAGCTGAGCTTTGGTAAGTCTGGCAATGCTGTATGCTGTGGGACCTCTTTATGAAAGTAGCTAGGGAGGAAGGGGAAGAGCAACAAAGGGAGCTCTACTGAATCTTGGAGTCTCTATTTTGTGTCCCCGATTTAATTTCTCTTGTTCTTCTCATGCAGGTGAGATGGACCAAAACTGCTGGCAGCGCATCGGACAAATTCCAAGAGACGTCAGTGCTTAACGAGACCCTTCGGATTGAGAAGATCCAGAGGCTGCAGGGGGGCCGCTATTACTGCAAAGCAGAAAATGGGGTTGGGGTCCCTGCCATCAAGTCCATTCGAGTAGATGTGCAGTGTAAGTCGTTTAACGGCAACCCAGACCTTCCCACAGTTCTACTGCATGTCTCTGTCTTGCTGCAGGGCCAGCAGGAAGCTGCATTGCCCTAGGACCACATGCACCTGATTCAGGAGCAAAGGGACTGGTGTGGTTTCCCTAGTGTCTTTTTTACCGAGGAGATTAGATCCATCCCTTCAAAATATAGTTCTGCTGTCTTTGTGAGCCATTCTTATCTTGATGTCACAATGTCTGTCAGTGACAGACAGTGTCAGTTCCCTAAGAACTTGTCTAGGAGGTAGCATTGGGTGCAGCTTCTGGTTTCTTTGTCTTCATTTTGAAGCTGAAAGAGCTTGAAGCAAGCAATGTTTCTTGAAGTTGGTAGTGCCCCTGATGTTGGGGGTGTTCCTGAAACCCGTGTCCTGTTCCCAGCATTGCTACTTCTGTAGCATGCTGGAAACAGAGCTGAAAACTCTGGAATGCTGAGGGGGTCTGATGCTGAGCCTCTAGAGAAGGCTGAGGTGTGATAGGGTGAATGTGAAGGTGACTCAGCATTGTGCTGGTTGGTCATAGTGCCCATAATGTGAAGGTGACTTAACATTTCTCTGGCTGGTACCCATCCTTCTTAAGTCCTGGAGATGCTGCTAGAGGTTTTCCGCCTTGGGCTTCAAATTTTGAGGGCTTTTCTTAATGTTTATTCTTGGACTTAATGTTTATTCTTGGGCTCCTGCGGTCAAAACGGAAGGTAATTAAACTTGCTCCATAATGCCCAAATGGGAGAAATACAAGATTTAATGTCTAGGCAACTTGTTTTAATCTCTTGGAGAAGCTTACCTTTACATTGTCCTTGAGTATTCCAATTTTCTTCAGCCCAACTAACACAAAATCCCTCTCCTCACTCATATTATCTGAAAAGACAAGAGGTTGATGCTAAAAAGTTGTAATGTATGATAAAGCAGCTGAATCTGTACCTGAACCTGTCATGAGCTGTACTAAAATCCTTCTAGCAAGAAGGTCCTTCCTTCTGAGCTGAGGAGCACTGTGGTTGTCTATCAGTGGAACAACCTCCAAGCTTCAAAACCTCAGTACATGCCTGAAGTCTGGGCAGACCTTTTTGCAGACAGCAACTGCTGCCTGACTGCTTCCTTTTAGTCCTTCTGTCCAGCCCAGCTGTGATGTGACTCTCTCAAAATGTACCACAGACTTGGGCTTACTTAGATTTTGGCAGGTTCATGATCCCCTGTCATACTATATGGCTGGGAGTAGCTCCCATCTGTTCCTTCCTTGCCCTACCCTTTATTGGAATAGTGTAGTGTGGGCACAATACTATCTAGGCTGTAGAAATGGATTGCTTCAACAGCAGCTATTGTGGATAGGATGAGTGTTTTTTCATTGGCATTGCATCACCCTGTTTAGAGAAGTTCTGGCACCCACCCTAGATCTTCATGGCTTCTCTGCCTGTTTCTTCTCCTACATGTGGTGGAGGCATATGATAACTCTCCATTTGCAAAGGATACTTAGTTTTCTCAAGGGTCAGTGTGACACTTTGCCAGGGCGTGTGTCTCTAGGAACAGGCCTATGCCATGAAGCTCTTCATGCCCTAAGGGTGCTCCCATGGTGCAAGCTGGGGCTAGAGTGATGTAGTGTCCCATAGTCCCTCATGCAGCTCTGACCTGTAGAACTGTGGGGCTAATGGAGTGGCCAAGAGCTTTCTCATACTAACATCTACTCTGCAGATGGACTTGGTATTGCACCTCTGTTCTGCTCATTGGTTTTTGGGGAGGAGAGACTATTTTCTGCTAGTTTTTGCAGTAGGTAGAAGGGAACACATGGGAAAAGCCACAGTTTTTGTTGAACGCTCATCCAGACAACCTTCAGCTGAATGAACCAAAATTTGAAAAGAAACCCTTCTTTTCCTGCATCCCATTTTGTAGTTAGAGGTAAGTAATCACCCTAATGTGTGCTTTGGTGTCCTTGACAGCTGCTGCTAGTCCTCAGTCATACTTGCAGTGTTCAGCAGTGAGGCTGCAGAAGAGAGCACTGTTGGTGCCAAGAGGCTATTAAGCTGGAAACATTGACCTGTGTAGCATGATATTCCTCTGCCCCAAGTGGGCATCAGTGAGGTTTTAAAGTATTGGTTACATCCTGGCAGAGAGGCAGCTGCTGTTCTGAGTATTTTCATGTGGGAGAGAGGGAAGAGGGAAGAGGGAAGAGGGAAGAGGGAAGAGGGAAGAGGGAAGAGGGAAGAGGGAAGAGGGAAGAGGGAAGAGGGAAGAGGGAAGAGGGAAGGGAAGGGAAGGAAAGGAAAGGAAAGGAAAGGAAAGGAAAGGAAAGGAAAGGAAAGGAAAGGAAAGGAAAGGAAAGGAAAGGAAAGGAAAGGAAAGGAAAGGAAAGGAAAGATGTTTACAAGCTTTTATTGTGCATGAAACATCCCATGTGATCATCTCCATGAACAGCCTTGGCCCAAATTTATCATATGAGCAGCTCACTGACATCAGTGGCATTACTCATACATCAAGGACATATGCATTGTTGTAGGCCTTATTTTAGCTTTTCTCATGAGGGCTAGACCCAGAGATGACTGCTGCAAAAGAAGTGTGAAGGATTCATAGGAGGAAAGTTTTAGCAATCAAAAAGAAGGTGTTGTTTTCTGTATGGGGAGTAGCTGGGAGCCAGAAGACTGGAATGGTGAGCTGCTTCTTTAGTTAGTAAGGGAAGTGTTTTACTTGCTGACACACAGTCTCAGAAGGATGGTACCTAGAATAGAGTCACTCATGTGAAGTTTGAAGAAATAAAGGAGGGTTAAGAACAAAGAAGGAGGAAAAGAGGAGAAGTTGTGCTCAGGGTCTTGGTCCAAATGAATTTGATGTTCAGTCACCCTATGGTCACATGAAGACTGCACTGTATGGAGAGGAGTTTTTCTCCCATCTGCATATTTTTTTCAGCCGTGGGTGTTTTTTGGTTGGCGGAGTATTTTTTCTGGGATATATTTTGTGTCTTGTCATTATTCAATTAATAGCTCTACTCATATCTCTGAGCTATGGTCAAGCAGGCAAATTTCAGGTCACATAATTGCTGTCTGCCAAGCACACAGCTCATTCAAAGATGCGAATCCACAAGTTGACACTTGTGATTCATCAGAGAGTATACGTTGTTTGGATGGCATGTTAGCAGAAACTCATCCCTGCTTTCTTCTTCCATTCTGGAAGTCAGATCTCCAGACTTCAAATCTGTAAAATAAAATACCGTGAAAACTAGGTGGCATGGGAGGGCAGGAGGTGATGAAAACATTAGCATCTGCAGAGGATTATGCTGGCAGCACAACAGGATACTGGGTACAAGTACCACAGTTTCCTTGCATCTGAAGATGGGGTCATCGTGCTCCTGAAAATATAGAATTACTTCAACTTGAGCTCAAAAGGTGCCTTATAAGACATACTTAAAGACACAGGGACTCATTTCCATTTTAAAGGGCTAATTCTTGTCAAAAGGGATCTTTCCATTTAACCTCAGTCTCAAAGTGATTTTATGAGGAGAAAGACACACTGCCTCTGAGGTGTCCTCCATAATACCTTGATGTTCAAACACTGATGCCTTCTTCAACCTGTGAGAAGATCATCCCTTTATAGCAGGTGGGCAGCTGTACGGGGGCAGTATGCTCTGTGTGGACAGAGAAAATCCTCTCCCTGCATTGTTTCTGTCCTTGCAAGTGTAGCCGCTGGTAACCATCAATTCAGGGTGGCTGTGTGTCTGGTGCAGGTACAATTAGGGAATTGAGCACCTTCTGTAAAGAAAGAGAACAAAAGAATCTGATCAGTTTAGGGAGGGGTAATGGGAGTTGCAGTGACTAGAAGCTGCCAAAGAAGGACTGTTGACACAGACTTTGAAGAAAATACACGGACAATATTCAATAGGAAAAGAGAGAAATTATACGTACCTATTACAGTGTTTTGCACCTCATATTCCCATGACTCCCCTCAAGATTTGCTCTGTCTAGATGACTTTCCAACTCAGCTCCTTGATTTTGTCCTGAATTTTTACTTTCATTCCTTGTCTTGAAGGTTCATCATGTCATTTGTATGGATGTCTCACAGACAGGGGCTAAGCCCCATGATTTCAGAAGGGATTTTGGAACTGGAAATGGAGAAATTATGATGGAACAGAGCTTCCTGGGATCCTTCTGACCTGTCACTAAAGTAGAAAATGGTGATTTTCTGTAGCGGTGGTGCGACTGGGGAAGGTGAGGCAGCTCTGAGACACATGTGGCAGGCAGATGTTTTTTGAGGACTGCATGGGGATCTGCAAACAAGAGACTGATTTCTATTCTCTGAAGGTTTGTGTGGTGAGCAAGAGAATTCTGGCTTCTCTTGTCTGTTCCCTTTAGATATTGCTTGTATTACCTGCCCTCAGATCAGCTCTTAAATCAGTAGTTGTCATCAGCCAAATATGCAGGAACTTACCCTCTCCTCAGTGGTACCTGGAGCATATCTGCTCTGCAGGCTGTACACGCAGACCAAGCTTTGCTAACAATGGCTGTGACCCTCCTTACCTCCCTTCCAGATCTAGATGAACCTGTTCTCACCGTTCACCAGACCATCAGTGATGTACGTGGCAGCTTCTACCAGGAGAAGACCGTCTTCCTCCGCTGCACTGTCAACTCCAACCCACCAGCTCGCTTCATTTGGAAACGGGAAGCTGAGATACTTTCTCACAGTCAGGACAATGGTGTGGACATCTATGAACCCCTTTACACACAGGTGAAAATAAGCAAACCTCTGTCAACTTGCACTGAGTGTCATGCTGATGCAGGGCACTGTAGTGGGTGGTGTTTCCTTCCCTGCTGTGAAGTGGGTGCAGGCCACTGCAAGGAGTGCTGCCTCCAGAAGGGCTGTTAGACCTTCCTTCTGCATGCAAATTCCCAGGGTAGAAGAGGAGCAGAGCAGTAGGAGGGAGTGTGGCCTAGGAGGACCTTTCCCTTATTATCACCGTCCCTGAGAGCAGTGACACTGCCCCCCTACTGAGGTTATGCAGCTGTTGGATGGCTGAGACTAAAATTCAAATAATCCCAAGATTGTATTTCGTCTATCTCCCATCACTGTTTTTTTTCTTAGTTGGGTGCCCAGACTCCATATATCCGGGAAGGGTTTCCTGTTTAGCCTGTTTAGTGGGAGCAAATGGCAGGCATGGGATGCATGAACATTTTCTAATGGCCACAAGTAATGGGAAGCCCAACTGCCTGGGCACTTCCTGGCTGTTGTCCTGTGGCAAATGTCCACATCTTTTCTCCTCCTCCTGCTTGCCTACGTTGGACTTGCACTGTAAACACCACTTTCTTCACAGTAATTAGCCTGCCAATGCAGTGGGAGAAGGAAGGGAACTTTTCTTTTGCCAGGGCACTCTGGGAATGTTACACTAAGATGAGCTGATCTGAATTCAGATTTGGGATCTGAATGTCCTTTAGATGCTAATCAGCCCCAGTACTTCCAGCAAGGCTGCTAGGGAACACATAGCAGGGATGTGTGGGAAGGGAGGACTGAAAGGGCAGCTCCCCACGGCAGCTGTTTCATCCCAAGCACCTTCCTGCATTCCCAGCACTGGGCCCAGAGCACATTCTGTCTGAGTTTGATTTCTGAGCAACGCCCCAGGCAACATTTAAGCTAATGTAGTCATGTTCATATTTTATTGAAACATGCCATCTCTGTAGGTCATGGAAATAGGCATCCAAATGGAAATATTCAGGGAATGAGGAGGGAGGAGAGAGTTGCAGGTTAGTAGCAGATTTGCAGAGACACTGTAGGTCAGCGCTGCTGTTTGGCCCTGAAGACAGCTTTGTCTGTGTGCTGTGTGGCTCCCAACTAGGACATCCCTTGGAGGAAGCCACCGTGGGCTCTTCCAGTTTTCACTAGGCTCAGTGTAATTAACAGGAGACATTGCCTAATGAGAGGATATCTTAGGACTTCGGATATTTTCTCTAGCTAAATAAGGCATCTGGCAAAAATTCATCAGTTTGCAGCATTAATGTTTAAATGAGCCAGCGTGCTGCAGCTCCTGTCAGACAATGCTCCCAACATGATGGGTCATTCCCAGCTCTGAAAGAGGGTGTTGGCACTGCTGTGCTCAGCCAGGCATGCCCTTGAGGTCCTCTTCTTAACACCAGCATAAGCCTGTAAGTTTGGGTTGGTAAGAGATGAAGTTAACAAAAACACATCTCTGCAACACTGTTTGAAGGGGGAAATCTTGCTGGAATGTTAAACAAAGTACCTTTTACCAGAGTTTGGAGTGCTTTCTTAGAGATGAACCTCTATTAGTGTTAGGCTTGAATAGGCTTTTACATTAAGAACAAGCTGAAGACTTTTACTGTTTAAGCTTTTTAAAACTTACTTACACTGAGGATTTATACACATATACCTAAATTCACTAATCAATAAACAGGATACACATGACCCTGTAAGTATGTAGATGACATGCATATTGTAAATGTCACAATTTGTGTGGCATAGCAACAATTCTTAGGGGACAGGACTTTCCTAGGGTTAACAGTGTCCTAGGTTTTATGATTCTAATTTACTCACTTCACATCCTTATTCTCTACATATTAGCATTCCTGAGCTCATTGTCCAGTCCCTTGAGGTTGTCTTCAGGTGTTTTGTTGTGCTGACATCTCTTCACACTTGTGGTCAGTTATAGGATGGTTTCTCCAAAAGAGATTGAGACAAACACAAGGAGAACAGCAGCAACAAATTGTCAGTGGAAGATATACAAGTTGCAGTGTGTGCAAACCATTGGATGATTCTCAGAGCTTTCTCATTCCATAAATAAAAGTCTACAGAACATGTCTATTGTTCATTTAACAACTTGATTCTGTTTCCATAACAAGCCAGTAACTAATGGAGTGCAGGCAGTGATTTTATTTGTTACCTTAGAATGAGGAAAGGCTATCAGAGTCTCTGCAGTCACTCCGGATTTACATCAGCATAAATGAGATTAGAATCTGGAGAAGAGGGATCAGAAAGTTTGGAAGTTCTTTGAGTATTTATTTGAAATTTTTGTCCTCATACTGCAGATTTCTAAAGCATAACTGTTAACTTGTCATATTTAGGCCAGTATTAATGCCTCAATCTGCTCTGATTTACTTTGGTTTGGGAATGTTGAGTCCCCAGTGACTTCCTTTGGGTTCCTACTGACATCTTGGAGTAAGATGTCAGGGTATGTTCTGGGATGGTTAAGGTTTGTCATGTTCTACAAGATGTTTCTGGCAGTAGTTGATAAGATAGTATGCCCAGACCTGTTTAGCAGTGCTTTCACGTCATGTCAGTCAGTTGCTGGCTGTTTCGTGAGACCCTGGAGGTGAAATGACCGCTGCAAAGATTTTGTGTCTCCTTTATATAGAGCTGGGTGGCTTGAAATCTGCATAGTTCCCTAAGGTTTTCATGGGAGCTGCTGGTAATCTGTAAATTTTGGGAGAGGATATGGGCTTGGAATGATCATCTGTGCTTTGGACATCTGTGTCTTTTTTTGCCCCTATTTTTTCCAAATCACAGGGTGAAACTAAAGTCCTGAAGCTGAAGAACCTTCGGCCTCAGGATTATGCCAGCTACACATGCCAGGTGTCTGTCCGCAATGTCTGCAGTATCCCTGATAAATCCATCACCTTCCAGCTCACAAACACCACAGGTAAGAAGGGACATGAAGGGTCCCTGCAGCTGCCTGACCCTTCACCACCTCAACAGCCATTACTCCTCCAGGAGGATAACACAGCACTATCCAGGGCCTGCAGCACCTTGACCTCATTTACATGGCTGCTGGGATTACACGTCCTTCACATGGAAGTCTTGTGACCAGGGCTGCTCTAGTTTCTCGTAGCACTGCATATAGCCACTGCCTGGGCCAAACCTGCCATGAGATCATTGGAACAAACTGCATGTAGGTGTTGAGGCACTATGTAGCTTTTAAATCATAATGTTTTATTTATTTATAATTCTAAGTGACTTTAAAAATAGATTTGATAGAGTCTAGAGTGGGGCAGTACTGCAGGAGTTCTTACAAATAATTCATCCATGTGTGACTCCAGCCTGGTTTGCCAGGCACTAGCACCTCCCAGGTAATAGGCTCTGCTGGTGCTGGTGCTTGTGGAAAGCATACATTTCCAGTGCTTTCCCAATAAATAAATTTTACACTCATATTCATACTGGCAGTGCTTGAGAGCACCTCCAGTTGTGAGCAGATTTGGTTTGGTGCCTCTTGCTTGATACGCAATAAGTGAATGATAACTGAGTGTCATGTATCAAATACTGGCAAGGACTTGATTGCAACCTGTCCATTAAAAAAAATCCAAACCAAAACCACACACACAATAAAAAATTTCCACCTGCAAAGCCCCCATGTGTGTTGAATATTTGCAAATAATAAGTAAATGTCAGGAAATTGTTTCCGGCCCTGGGGTATTCCATGATCAGAGAGAAAGGCATTATAGCTCTTTGAATTATTCACCTCTCTAATATAACACAAAGCTGTTTGCATCCCTTGTGTCATCTCTGTGCAGTAGAAACAGAACTTTTTCTGATGTTGTTAACTGTTGACAGGATATTGTTGATACTGTTTAAATTATGTTTATTGATCTGAATTGAGTTTCAAGGTACTGAACAGTAGTTGCCTCATTTTATGTAGGAAGAAGGAAAATAATGAGCTTAAGAAATTGAATTATAGCTAATGTCAGAAAAAAGTATTCTCTTTGTAGTAAGATCTCTGAACATGTCTCGAACAACTCACCCTAATAGCTTAATTTCTCTCAGGATGAGAGTGTAGCAGATGTTGAAATATTCCCTTTAAAAATCTGTCTTCTGTTCATGATGAAGAAAGGGATCTTATATAGCTCTTCTTCCCTGTGTACCTTTACCTTTGAAGAGTTAGAAAATTAAATTTCTCTTCATATCCACTCCCTGTGCCAGCTGAAGTACAGGGAAACTACTCTTCATTTCAATCCAGCCCCTGTACTAAGTGAATGGGGAAAATGTATTTTCAGGTTGTACTTGATAACAAGTCAGTGATATGGCTCAATTTATACCAGCTTCTTAAGCACATCTATCTAGAGTTGTTTTTTTCCCCTGTTTTTTAATTATATATGCATATTTATACATACTAAGAGTGGAGTCTGGAGCTACAAATTTGAAGGGGCCATGGAAAATGTGTTCTTAGCAAATTGTATTCAAAGTGGGCTGTAAAAATGAAGCTGGCATTGTGGTGTGAGCAGGGTTTGTGTTAAATAGAATGACTATATTTAATATGAAATATTATACAGGTTACTTGCCCTGTAGGTAGTATTGTGCATAGATGAGGAAATATTTAAATGAAAATCTTTAATTCTCTCCTTTCTTGCCTAGGTCTTTTCTGTTCCCCTTGCACTTGTGCTTTCACAGCTTTTCTAGACTTGGCTGTGCCCAGAATCCTGAGCAGCTTCACTCAGGATGCCTTTGTAGCTGAGAAGGGCCCAAAGGGTGCTGGAATGCTTGGAATTTTTTCTCTCTTAAATATAGTCCAGGCACTACAGATGTTGAGGTGAATTGGTAGGTCAGGTCAGGCCAGGAGAATCTCCTCAGCTCATTTGCTGTTCCTCAGCTGGCTCCTCAGTGTCCTTTGGGCAGATCATAGTCTCTGGTAAGAAGATGGACTTTTCCCAAGCGCTATTCAGCAGCTTGGGCCTTGCAGCAGGGAATGGCTTTTCTGCAGCCTTAGTGAGAAGGAGATGTCACTGCTCCCTCTCTGTTCTGCTGCTGTTTCTTGGCTTCAAAGCAGCAGCTTGGGTCCACAGAGCCACAGGACCAGCTCAGCACCAGGCTGCCATCACCTCCTCCAGCAGGGTCAACTTGACTGCTCCCTTCCTCAATTTCTGCAAAATTAAGCAGCCCAGCTGGTTAATTCTCCTGCTGTTTTACTGCAGCAAATTGGACTTCAAAGGGAATTGAAAGCGACTCTTTGTTTTTAATGGTCCCCTCGCTGCTCGGCAGACTCTGCCAGCAGGTTTTCTGAGCCAAGAACAAAAGGAATTGCCACAGGTTACAAATAAATGAGAATCATCTCCTGCATAACAATGTCTGCAGTCTGTTAACCTCTGTCTGCTGATGGGAATGGGAGTGGGGAGTGGTAGCCCACACAGGCTGCCACAGCCAAGACTCCATTTTTGGAACATGTCATGGGACCTTGCTTCCTGGAGCTGTGCAGGTGGCAGATTTGCAGTTTCCCTGCTTTGTTCATGCATGCACACACACTCTTCCCTGATGCAGTGCTTGCCACCAGCATGTCACCTTTTTAATATGTTGCCTTGCCCAGAGCCAGGCAAGGTGAGTGTGGGGCAGATATTTGTATATCCAACCCTAAATCTGCAAGAGCCCTAAATCTTAACCAGAGCCAGCAGGACCTCTGGTTTGTGTTCTCCCAGCTCTGACACCTTCTCTCTGGACATGGGCTCAGGCTTTCTCTGTCTCAGACAGGGATGGGTGGAGATTCCCAGGCAAGATGCTGCATCTGCCAGTTTGGCTGTGCACTGTGAACCTGAGACCAGTTCAATGTCTGAGGACAAAAACAGCTATTTGGTGTCAGCTACACTGAGTTAGTGACAGGAATGTGTCCTGCCCAACTACGATGAGTCGAGCTATTGCATTTCTGGGCTTCATACTATCTCATGAAACCATCTGGAGTTTGGTGAGGATATACAAATCCTTTCTTTGCTATTTAGTAAGCATTAACCCTTTCACACTATTTACAAGATTCCTGCAAAGAGGCCTGCCAAAATCTCTGTGAGTGCAGGCTGTGGCCTCCTGAAATTCAAAGGCACCAAGCACTGACCTCAAAATGGCCTGTGCAGGTAGCAGAAGAGCCACCTTCTTCCTTAGGCATAGGTGACCACCTCTGACACAAATAGCATGTGTAATGGCCAGGGGGGACATTGTATTCAGTACACCAAAGCAATATCCCAGCATGGCAGTAGTTGTGCTACTAAATTATGGCACTGGTGCTGAGGAGAGAAAAGTCCTCCTTGCGTTCTTTGTATGGGCTGTAATTCAGAGATCGAGCACAAATCCAGCACAGCTCATTAACACAGGGTCCAGGGAGAGAAGAGGCAGAAATAATGATGCTGTTAAATCAGGCTTCATGAATATGGAACAATGTCTTATTTTGCTTTATAATGGCTGTTACTTAAAACATACTCCCTGCTTTTTTGCTGGGGACTGCTACTTTCTCAGCTCTGCCTGGATGGAGCCAGTAATAGTGCTTATAGGGGCTTTGAAAGACTTTCCATGGAATGAAATAGAGAATACAAAGGGAAGGATTTTGGATCAGTTCCTGGAGGGGGCTGTAGTGAGAAGGGTACAGAAATAAAATAAAATCAAAAAACAGGTACCAGTGTATTCAAATGAAAGGCTCTCTAGACACTTTGAATCAGTCTCAGCTGAACTGAATGTGAAGGAGAATTGCTGTGATTGTGATAGCCCCCCGGTGTTCAGAAAAGCATATTAGACACGTGAGGAGGTGAAGAAGATCAAGAGCAGGTTCAAAGATGCTGTTAATGGTCTGCTAAGGTGCAGACAGGTACTGGTCCTCCATATCAGTCTCTGAGCTGCAAGGACTATCTGCTTAGCAAAGCCTTTGCCTCTCAGAGATGTCTAGTTGGGTGTGAGAGATAGAGAGGCGTATCATGGGACAGCTGACAATAGCTTTTTTTAATGATAGATCTTCCCTAAAGCTCACTTCTTGAGATGGAGACTCTGAATGAGTGAAGTGATTTAATGCCAGCTGTCCTTGAGGACAAACAGTAGTTGGGTTCAAAAAGGCTTCTTTGAGGCTATCCTTTCTCCTTCACCTCTCCATCAAGGTTGTGAAGGCTTCCATTGCCCTTATGCCCAGCTGCAGTTGTTTGCATCAGGAGTCAAGAAACTTCAGGCCTTGGGTTTTTTACTGCCAATTGTTGTCTGTTTGCCACCCCTACATATACAGAGTGGGTTTACTGGGCTTTTCTTCTGACCTGCATACTAAGCCATAAAGAACCTGCACTGAGCACTGATAAAATGTCATAGCTGCTTTTTGTCCCTGTCCTAAGCACTACTGGTAGAGTGTTTTCTGGGGCAGTGCAAGGTCCTGCCTGCTGTTTCCTAGCCATAAAAGAGCAGAGCGTTCTCACTCAGAGACATGGTAATGATCATGCTTTAGATTTACAAACACCTCATATTTGTAATCAATTCATAGATCTTTCCAGCTGTCCCTACTCAAACCAGCCATCAACAAGAACAAATCATAGAAAGTATGAAGCTGTGTACAGGCAAGTGGGTGAGTCTTTCGCAAGCTCTTTGTGCTTTTCCAGCCCCACCTGCTCTGAAGCTGTCTGTCAATGAGACTCTGGTGGTCAACCCTGGTGACAACATCACTATGCAGTGCTCTGTGACAGGTGGTGACCCACAGCCAGAAGTGGTTTGGTCCCACTCTCCTGGCCCAATGCCTCCCAATAGCCTTGTGCAAGGAGGCAACCTCACCATCTGGAGGATCCGCGTGGAGGACTCGGGCTACTACAACTGTACGGCCATCAACAATGTGGGGAACCCAGCAAAGAAGATTGTGAACCTGCTGGTGCGGTGTAAGTTGCTCCTTTGCTCTGAGAATGTGTTTTCAGGGGGTGGGGGAATCACATTCCTCCTGGCTGTTCTTGTACAGCTCAGGGTGAACGTGATATTTAGTAGTATTTAATATTCTGGAGAAGTGCCTGTGCAAGCTTCTCTGCTCCCAGACCAACGGCTGTGCAAGCACTGCTTGCAGCTTCATCCTGGACTGTAGCATTATCCTGAATTGGATGATCCCAGACTGTCATATGTGAGGCTTTTGGGACATTTTGTGGGAACATAAGTGGGAGAGGTCTTTGGGCAGATTTTGCATGGAAATGTTGCCTTCCTGAGGAGCAAAGTATAGTTTTCCTGTCCCATGCAAGATACTTTGATATCCCTAACTAGTTTTGCACTTCTGTTTATCTCAGCCATGAAGAATGCCACATTTCAAATCACTCCTGATGTGATCAAAGAGAGTGAGACCATCCAGTTAGGCCAGGACTTGAAACTCTCTTGCCATGTAGATGCTGTCCCCCAGGAGAAGGTTGTCTATTCGTGGTACAAGAATGGAAAACCAGCCAGATTCTCAGACCGGTTGCTCATCACCCGCAATGACCCTGAGCTCCCACCTGTGACCTGCAGCATGGAGATCATTGACCTGAGATTCAGTGACTACGGCACATACCTGTGCGTGGCTACCTTCCAGGGAGCACCCATTCCTGACCTCAGTGTGGAGGTGAACATCTCCTCAGAGACAGGTGAGCCTCTCTCTGGCAGGTGGGGACCCCAGAGGAGTGTTTGGCATCACTGGCTGCCCCACAGCCCCACGCCCCCTGGCTTTTTTGAAGAATTTCACATGCATGTCCTGGATGCTAGTGGGGAAAGGTCTTACACCCTCAGGCAAGCACTTGGCTTATATTGGAGACAGGTAATAGTCACAACTTCTCTGTATGATGTATTATGTACCAAGCAGATCTTCCTTTATATATTCTCCTTATGAAAAGTCCAAAGTGCACTCCAGTCAAAGCTACAGAGGCAGCTTTACAGTGTGATTGTTCAAACAAACCTCCACACTGTGAAGGAAAAAAGGAAGAAGTGGTGGTATTTCAGCAAATTTCAAGTCTCCCTTTGCTTAGAAGAGAGTAAAAGAGAAAGAAAGCTGTTCTTTCTTCTCTTGGGCATTGTTTATGAAGAACGTACCTTTTTTTCAGAGTTCTGTCCAGGATACAAATTCTGTGAAAACTTGCAATGTTTACTGGATTGCAAATACAGTCTATCTTGGGCACTCTCTGTAGGAGTCCCAGTGTTATAAATGCCTCCCTCCTAAAATCAGGGTCAGAGCTTCACCCCATGGCTCAGTGAGGACAGGACAAATATGTCGGTGTTTGTCAGTCACTTTGGAGACTTAAAATATAGAGTCTTAGGGCTGTCTTTCTCTTTCTGGGGAAATGGTGGGTCCAGCTGTGCTCTCCATTACATCCATGTCATTGTGGTGCCTTTCCAGGACCATGAGGGTACAGCACAAAATAGCACTGCATTAGTAATCTGAGGGAAGACTCCTCAGGGGAGTCATCTGCCCACAGATTTTGACCTGCACCTTCACAGAATGTTACTTCTCAGTCCCTGGTTGTGCTGGATCCACGGACCAGGCTGATCTCACTCTTGATTCTGGATGCTGCTAACTTCAGCTCCCCAGGAAAAAAGTGCTGCAACTATTGTTGATGCTTTGGGAAGCCCTTGTCTCCCATTAGAAATACTGGGGCCAGCCTGCTCCCGATAGGATTGCATCTAGTTCTTGTTGGCAGCCTGGAGACTGAGCCTTGACTGTGCCATGGATCCACTAAACACTGAAGAATGGTCCTTCCTTTCTGTGGACAGCCATGACAGTTAGGACCTCTCCATGCCAGCCAACACCCACCCTGTTATGCCAACAGGGAACGAAATTGGGTGAACTCACCAATCCTGGTGCAAAATTGGCTCTCCCAAACTTGTATGGCTGATACCACTTGCAACAATTCTTTTTGCCCAAGATCATTAGATGACAGAGTGCAGTTGTGTTTAAGACTGCAGGGGTAGGAGGCTGTGAAGAGCTGGGAGACCACTGATGGTTCCACCAAGAGGCTTGGAAGTGTCTGTCAGTGCAGGTGTTGGTCCAAGCACCAGTCAGTTGCTGCCTTAAAGGGAGGTGTCTGAGTGACAGGTTGCCCTGTGCCTGTCTGGAGGAGAGTGAGTACCATATGCATGTACAGATGCTGCCAATGAGGAAAAGAAGGAGGGCAGCCTGGGGCATTTTGAAGCTTCCCTTTGGCAGCTTGGGCCATCAGGACCACTTTGTGTCCCAGGGAATGAAAACTGACATCCCTGCTGGAGCTCCCCTCCATGCAGCAGCCAAGGCTGTCCAACACGCAGCATCCCCACAATCAGCAATGAGCTACCTCCAACATGATTCTATATAAAACACTAGGTTTTCCCCAGACCACAGGATCAGAGCAAGAGGACAGCAGCAGTGGCTCCATGTTTCCCCACTGAGCAAAGTCTGAGCTCATCAAAGTGGCTGCATCCACTGAGCAGCTCCAAGGAGATAGCTTTAATTAAAAAAAAAAAAAAAATCTTCAAATGCAATTTACAACTTTACCTGTGGAAAAAATTGCTGCTCGCCAGGTGGGAAGGTGGCAGCATCAGCACTGAAAGTGCTGCCATCCTTTCACACAATGCAGGACAGGGTGTGATGAGATTCCCCAGCTCACAGGAGACCTGCAAATTGAAAATATGGCCTCCCTGTTGCATAGGGAGGTCACTGCAGAGGGAGATTAGGCTGGATCTATCCTAAATTTGTTCATAAAGAGCTCCAGGCTCTAACATGTACAATTAACATAGCACACTCTCCCTTGCTGGAGCTGAATTGAGCTAATGTTGGTCAGACCAGCTTGCTACACCTTATGTAGTCCTATATTTTGATTTAAATGGAAATGAAGTACATGGTCCTTGCAGTTATGGAAGTGTCAATCCAAGTGTTGCCACTGTCAGCAGGAAGGACTGAAAAAGGAGCTTTCAGAAAAGATTGTGACCATATTTACTTCAGCTGAACTATTGACTCTAAAGTTTAACACAGATAAATTGTCAATATTACATGTGGTTTAGCACAAAAATCCCTTCCTGAGTGCTCGGTGGAATTAGGGATGTGAACAGCAAACCTCTTTCCACTGACATCTCTGTATGCTGTATTCACTGGATTTCTTTTAAGCTTTGTTTATCAGCAAAGTTTTGATTGTCAGTTGATAGCTGGATATTTGAGTGTTACTGTGCCTCCAACTCTAGCCTCAGCTCAGCAGCAATTCTGCTGAGTGAGCTCTTCCCAACCTCAAAGGGATGCCAGGAGTGATTGTTGCTGGGACCCATCTCTCGCTCAGATTAGCCAGAGGTTTATTGGTGTGAGAAATTCACAGTCCATTCACCAATAAAAACGAAATAAAGTTTAAAAGTAAAATATGTAATAAAAGTAAAATAAGCAAAGACACTTAAAAGAGCTGACTCCTTGCTGTGGTTTAGGAACAAACAGGGATCTTGGACCTCTGAGGAGGCTGGAGTTGGGATCTACAAGCACTTATCCTTTAAGTCTTGGTTTTGGTCTGACCTGAATAAGGTGTGTAGATATCTCAGCAGACATGACTTCTATTTTTGGCCAAAACACTGCAGTTCCACTTGAGAAATTCACTGACCAGAAATTGAGAAATGGATCAAAGAGGCTTTTGCTCTTTTTTTGCATTTTTTGATGCTATCCTTGCAGCTGGATAGCATTTTGTGAACAGAGGGATGGGAGCCTGGAGTCTGCTCCAATACAACTGGCCCTTGCCATGGATATTGGGACACACTGTTGGAAAGGCTGGAATCCTCCCTGGTACACTGAAGCTCCAGACCCTGTAGGATAACTTGCACGGACAGTGAGTTTGTAGAGGGGGGTTGCAGTGCATCAAGTGGAAACCTTTGGAGTTAAAGGCTGTTGGATCAGAAGCATCTGAAGAATACTCCTTACTTTATGAAAACTCAGTGTAAAATTATTCCCTTCTTGTCTCTCTTGTAGTGCCACCAACAATCAGTGTCCCTAAGGGTCAGTCCACTGTCACTGTACGGGAAGGCTCCAGGGCTGAGCTGCAGTGCGAGGTTCGGGGAAAGCCAAAGCCACCCATCATCTGGTCCCGGGTAGATAAGGAAACACCCATGCCTTCAGGGACAATGACAATGGAGACATACAATGGGAAGCTGCACCTGGAGAGTGTGAGCCGAGAAATGAGCGGGACCTATAAGTGTCAGACAGCCAGGTACAATGGATTTAACATCAGACCCCGAGAAGCCCTGGTGCAGCTCAACGTACAGTGTGAGTACAACCGTACAGTGCTGGAGTGCCTGCCTGAATGTCTATGTACACAAAAACCTTGGGGCTAGGCAGGGTTGACCTTTCTTACTGGGCTGAGCAGACACATATCTCTTTTGCCTGGGGACCTTTGAACAGTTAATATTTAATTAGTCAGGCCCAGGCTAAGGACAAGGTACCATATGGTAAGCATGTTGCAAGTGGAAGGGAGTGGTGTTGTATGCATTTGTGTACAGTGGTTTCTATTTACGTGTCAGGGAATAAGTGCAGCTTTACCAGGTGTGTTTGTGTGCATTACATGTGTGTAAAATACCTTCAGGGTACGTTACTAAGTTTGTAAAGTCAAGTACTCAAAAGTTAGAAAGTGAATGTTATTTAGACCATTTCCATGCCACAACACTTTCTTCAACTTAGTTACTCCTGGATATGCCTGAAACATTTTGCCTGAAAGGCAATGATATGTAGACATAACAGGGAATGGATACTCCCAAATAGTTTTCATGCAACCAGGCTGTGAGTAACAGAAAACTGATTTTTAGCAGGTGTGTGGAGTGATTTCTGCTACAGGTGGTTCTCCCAGCACTACTTGAAGGCAGTATCTGTACACAGAGGTGAACAGAGAGGGTGGGATGCTGCATTGGGTGACATCTCCATACTTTCCCTGCAGTGGTTTCTCCCTCCAGAGAAGTGAGTTCCTGCTCAGCTCCCACAGCTGTTGAGGTGTGTTTTGACATGAAGCAGTCTGTGCTCTTACAAGATTTTGAATCAGACTGGGGAAAGGTAGCCAGATAAAATGCCTTGGCTCTCTCAGCAGATCTTGTCCCATTAGTATGGTGCATTGTTTGAACACTGGCAGAGAACTCTGAGCAGTGCAGATCTGACAGGTGGGGGGCAGGCAGGGAACAGGTTAATTTACACCTGGGCATGCTGCCTATGGACTGTGACTGACGAGCCTCCAGACACAGCACAGCAGCACTCATCAGACACGTTGCCACACTTCTCCCAAGCTCACTCCCCAGGAATAAGAGAAGTGAGACCGGAGCAGACAACCTGGCTGAAACCAACCAGACAAACGGCTCACAGATGTGAGCTGCTGGGAGCACAGCAATAACAGAGGTGTGTGAAATCCTGCAGGCACTTGAGTATTTGAAGAGCCCCTTTTAAAATTATCTCTATCTATTCAGGATCGTGGCAGGCTTAGATTACAGGAGGAGATAGAGAAATGTGTGAAGATTTCCAGGCAGTAAGTATGTGTGGAAAAGCTTCCTTTAAGTAGGGTGAAAATGCATCTTGGTTTGAGCTGTTCAGGAAGGCAGCCTGCTTCAGTCATAAGGGACTTGGAGGGACATAGCAGCAAATCTTGGTCACATTAAGAGACGATGACAGATATAGTAAAATTTCACTTGGAAGCAAAGAACCACCAGACCTGCTGGTGTCCCCAGTCTGGTGTTGCTGTTTGAAAGGTGTATGGACCTCACTTGGCCCTCACTGCCCCTGCAGAGGGAGCAGCAGTGCTGAGCTTGGGATGAGTTCAGTCTTGCTAGGTGGTCTGGAGGGGGATCACAGACCTGAATCTTGGTCTGAAGGGGAAGGGCATGATTCCCCACACAAGAAAGATAGTAGGTCTAGGCCAGAAGCTATCTGGGGCAGTGACTATGATGTGACCCGCAAGAAAGCAGAACTTCTGTATAAAGAGTAGCTGAACATGCTCTTCCTATAGCTCTTTCTATGGCCAAGCAATGTTTTATTGTGATTTTGCCCAAGTAACAGTCATATAGTCCACGTGCCAGCCCACCCAAACAGCATCCTTCCCTTGTCAATCAGTTCTGTATACCTTTAGTGGAAGCTGGGTGCATACTGATTTGTACACCTAAGCTATCTCCTCCTGCCTGGAGAATGTGGAAGGACTTCATGGTGGCACTGCCTGTTCTGTGCCTCAGCAGGCAGCTTTGGTTTCAGTCCTGTCAATTGCTCCTTCCATTGGTATGAAAAAGAAACTGCAAACCAAGAAAGTAGGGCAAGAATTGCTCTTGTCCTTTTTACAGCCTCCTCCCTTTCCCTTCGTGCAGAAAATAGACTAAGAAATAGCACAGTCTCTGTTTATCCCTCTCCTCGTTCATGCTGCTGGAAAGATGTGGGTGCGGCAGGGGCTGCTATGGTTAATTGAAATACAGCTTTCCAGCGTGGGCAGCTCATCAGTTCAGTGGCTTGCTCTGGAATTCTCATCTTGTTGGAAATGGGGATTGTGTGGCTCCTGCAACCCCCGTGATGAGCACTTCTGTCACCCCACCCAGCCTGCACATCCTGTCAGAGCACCGCTCCGGAGATGCACATCCTCAGGGCCGTGTGTGTGTGTGTGTGTGTGTGTGTGTGTGTGCATGCAGGCCACCTGTTTGTGTGACCATGGGAGCTCCTCTGGAACTGCTTCACTCCAGGGAGCAGCACATTCTGGATAGTAATGTGGCTGTTACTCTGATTTGCTCCAAAGCTAAAGCTGCAAAATCAATACAGCAGATCTGATTAGATGTCAGGACCTGTTTCTGTGTTTCCCTTTTCCCTTGGTTTTCTCCCTTCATCCTCATGCATATAGTGCTGTATTGTAACATACTAGTCCAAAATAGGCTTTTCCAACTGCACTGCAATAGTGGAAAGAGAATAAGAAGACAAAAATAACAAGTCAGCTGTCAGAAAAAGGTGTTTGGACTTTTTAGTATTTTTTTTTTGTATTTAGAAAGCAGAAAAAGTTACTTCTCTTTTTGTATTTATAAAGCAGAAGAAATTGCTTTTCTTTTAGCTTATGAGCTAAAATTGTCTATTGTCAGGTCTCTGGCAGGATGGATCATCTCTGGACTTCTTGGTCTGTAGTGTAAAGCTTTGGAAGATTAATAAGTTTATGAAAGTCTGTGCAGCCTTATATCTCCGTGTTCAAGATGAAGAAATGTTGCTTAATGGTTAGAGTGAGAGACTGGGCTTGTCAGAACTCCTGGGAATCTACCACTTGGATTGGCAATGTCTTGTCGTTTTTTACTGTATCTTCAAAACAGGAATAAAACTGACCCATCTCATTGAAGATTTGTGGGGCATAATAAACATAGCACTTTGAAGTCTTGAAATTAAAATATTAATGGAGTGGCAGAGTGCTGTTAATAATATCAATGCTATCACTGAAGCTGTTATCAAGGTTTTTTTCAGGACCAGGTACTTGAGAAAATCCCAGCAGAAAAATGAATCCTGTGCAGAGGTGTGTTTAAAATCAGGGTTGGGCCACCCTGTGTAGGGAAGCTAGTCTAAGGCTATGAAACACACACTGGGCTTGAAAATGTGCAGCAGTCTGGGTTTTGGAACACCGTAGTGTCATTTGATATGTATGAGAAGAGGAAAGTATGCATGTGTGGATCAGTGAAAAGGATGCTACTAATTTAGCAAGTATATAACAAAAACTTGAAAGATGTGTATTAGCCATGTAGCCTAAAAGACTGGTCAAAACAGTATTTCCAGGAATTACAAAGGTCAGTAGTGACTTTTAAGCTCTGGCTGTTGCTAGAGGTAGCCCTTGAGGTGACTGCCTTACCATGGTGAATACGACATTTGCTCTGTTAGAGCCTCATAAAAAAATATGGTGAAAATTGCAATCTTAGTACATTTTCCTGCTTGAATAATATTATGTCAGCTCTGATGCTTTGCCAGTCCTGAACATCTCATAAACTACTGCACATCTCCGTCCAAGTCTAGCTCAATGCTGCACTCCTAATCCCTCCTGATCCTTGATATATCTATTCCCATATTTTCCTGCAGATGGGTTTATCCTCCTTCGCAGCACTCACTACTTGCTGTCTCAGGCCCACACTTGACCATCTGAATGGCTTCTCCCTCTTTGGATAACCATCAAAGCCTGGTAGAAGAGCACTTGTGTCCTCTGTTGAGTTGTTAATTACTTCACCAAGTTCTGAAGATAAGAGATAAGCATATTTTTGCTGCTGCCATTTTTGTGTTTGGCAGAGTATTTGATGTCTCTGAGTGCCCAATGAAAGAAGAGTAGGAGGAAAGGGGGATAGTTACATAGGGCTGACTTTGTTTTCGATTGTCAAGTCTGAAAGTTGGCCCTGTTTCCCATGTTGGGATCACACAGCAGGTGAAATCTTTGCAGGAAGAAAGATTAAAAAAGAAATTAACCTGAGTATCTCCTTCCCTGCAATAACATGGCCTATGAATTTTTCCTCTTCTGGATCTAAAGTACTAGCCCACAATCATACATGATTGATTTCCAAAGTATTACACTTGCTGCCCTTAGATAAAGTTCTGCCATATTATGCAGCAGGTGGGTTATTGTGCTTTATCTTCAAAGCGTAGTGAATGTTAGGTATAATCAGGGAAGCAGACTGACATTCGCTTCGGAGGGATGGTTATCAGGACTTCAAGAGCCATTTATAGTCCTAGACACAGGCATTGCTATAGGTCTGGTGACTAGCACGTCTGGCTCTGCCCTGACCTGGAAGATTGACGGAACACATCCTGCTAGGGCATCTGTTGCCATTGTCACTTTAACTAACGATCAGGTGAGCACAGATAGGTTTTCCTATTCAAGCTCACACACTGGCAAATGTTATTCCTGGTCACACACTGTTGACTCATTCCTCTTTAAAATCCTGCTGAACCCATTGGCAGTGCTGTACATCAGGCAGGCGATAGTCAGCATCAATTTCCCATGTTATCTATGTAGCAAACACAAGAGTGGGGAGCAGGGGAGGGGTTGATACTGTAAATAAGTAAAAAACATTGCTGGATCCATGCAGCTGGAACTGGAAATGCATTAAACTGTTTCGATCAACTGTTGAAGCCATAGCTCAATGTCAATGCTTCTTGCTGGTGCCCTGCCTCCTCCTGAAATATAAGCTTGGATATTAACTGCTTTCTTAAAAGCGCTCTTGAGACATGTTTTGGGCATGGAGATGTTTTTGCAGAGTATCTAAGACTGAGGTTTTGGCTCCTAAGAGCTCCCTGCA